GCTGTGCAGACCATTGCTCTGGACTGCAGCTATGGAGGGGAACCCAGCCAAGAAGGACAGAAGGCAGAAAAGAGACCCTGCAATCTGTTGGAGGGGTTGTCCTATAAACAAGAGCAGGAAGGCTTCAGCATGCCAGGGAAGAAAAAGCTGTGTAGATAAAAGAGGCTGCTTCAAAAGAATGGAGGGGGACTAATTTTTCTTGCACCGGGCGGCCACAAAGAGGGAAAAAGAAGTGGTCTTCACTGAGCTGGCAGTCAGAGGAGGGGAGCAACCTTCTCATGCTAGAAAAACACACAAAAGCCTCTGCAGGTGCCCTTTCATCAGAGTTTCAAGGACAGCAGGATTCAGCAAACTCCAAATTTTGTCTTTGGTCCTACAAAGATGCTCAGGGAAAGGGCCTGAGCTCTCAAATGGGCCAAGAGGCCATGGTCCTTGATGTGCCTCAATGGCAGAGGGGAAGTCAAGGGGATTTAGAACTGTCTAAGACAACAAATCCAGGGAATTATAGGGGATGCAGGGTCAGCATCTCCCCAAACCCAAGCACACCCTGGCCCTCCAAGCCCAGGGCTTGAGGTCCCCATTAGGCAGCTTTGATTTCCTTAAGGATCCCAAACCAGAGCAGAGGAAGTACAGCCCCACAGCCTACAGAGCAGAGGTCTTGTAAAGAGTATGTGGCCTGCTGTGGCCTAGCAGCCCAAAATAAAGGTTTCTCTATCTGGAACAAGCTCTGACAGTCCTGTATGTCCCCAGTCACACCACTTGACTGGTCTTAGATGGGTACAAACTGATAAGATGGGATTAATTTATTTTAGAAGGTGAAACAAATTCTCCATAGCTAGTCAAAGGTTGGTGCAATTGGGCATTGGTTATGGTGTCTCTGAGCTCAGTGTGGGCTACCAAAACCCTCCCAGAAGCTGGGGCATCTCAGGATCCCTAGCCTGGGCTGATTTCCAGTTCTCTGTTGGTTAGCTTTGCTACACACAGCAGCCCTGCATGCAATTCAGCCCCAGCAGAGAGTGCAGGCTGGCCACACATCCAGGAGGAAGGAAGCGAGCTCTGTTCATGTGGAGAACCACCAAGGTGTGCTGGCAAAGTGGTGAAATGGGGCAAATATTTTCAATATGACAGTAATAGGGACCTCTAAAGAGCAGCCTAAGACCCCTCAAAGGATAATCCATGAGATTCCAGAATGGCTCGGAAGTTTTGGGAGATTCATATTAGATATTAGCTGCTGCTCATATCAGATGTACAATACAGGCAGTTCTGGCTTATTTGAAGCCAGCAGTCAGCCAGCTCAGCCCATGAGAGGAGGTTTAGAGCATGATCCAAATGACACAAAGCTCCTGCTAAGAACAACACTGAGAACCCCATTTCCTTAATTTTTTTCACTGATGGGAGCATTTCTTTGGAAGGATGTGAACCATTTCCTCTGCAGCACAGCCGGGGTGCACCATCCCTCCCAGGATTTTCACTCTGCATCTCTGCCCCTGACCCAGTATGTGGAGGGTGAGTCCAAGCCACTGCTGGAATCATGTTCTGGCTGAAAGGACACCTGGAGTGCACCAGCAAACTGTTTGCAAGTGGCCTCTCATTTTGTAGGTCTGTTCTCTGCATGGCCGGGCTGTTCCTGGTGTCTCGCTGAACTTGTGCCATATGGAGCAAATGCTGCAACGTCTGTCTGTGTCTGCCTGACCGTGCCACTCAAGGGCTCTCTGCAAACAGTGCTCTGCTCTCAGTATTTGCATGAGCTGGGACAGTCCTTGGATGGGACTGTCTTCTCACCCTTCCCAAGTTGTTGGTTTTTTTCCCCACAGGATCTCTCAAAGCATAAGGAGCCATCACCAGAGACCTGGAACTGGACGGCTGCTGGCAGGGAGAAGGTGGCTGGAAACAGTTGCAGGGTTATGCTCTGCACCTTCCCTCTCCCTCTCATCCCTATGTGACACTGGGATCTGGTTTAGCTCTGGGCAGTGAAAAGTGTGACAAGAAAGAGAGAAAAAAGGTCTCTCATCCGCTCCTTTCCCTCTCTGCTGTGCAGCCACCTGGAGTCTGCTGCAAGGGAAGAAAGGGCAAAGGCAGAAGATCTGGACAGAGACCATGGGGCTATGCATCCCTTCCTAGCAAACATGCTCTGCAGCAAGAGGACCTGAAACATGTGAAAAAGTTTGATTTTTTTTGCTTGAGAGAGGCAAAACCCTGGACCCAGACATCTCCTTAGCCTGTGGTTTTCTTGAACAGTGGTGTGTTTGGAAGTGCCTGTGTGCATGTGGTGTGCTCATGTCTGCGTGGGATTCCCAGGTGAGGAACAGCACTCTCAGGGCTGTGATGTGTGTTGAGTTGCACCTCACTCTTCCTGCCTGCCTTGTTTTTCTCGGGCTGACAAGCTCCTGACTAATGGCAGTCACTGCTGCTTAATCAGGAAGCAATTTAATGATAACCTTTTCTAATTAACTAGCAGAGAGAAGAATGAATAAACTGTGAAACAGCCAGCTGGCTGCAGTGTCCTGAGCCAAAGGGCCTGTCAGGTGAGAGAAAATGGTGTCTGGGGACAAGGACGGCAGCTCTGGGCCTGCCACTGGGCAGGGTAGTAAAATTCTGAGGTGGGAGGGGGTTATGGTGTTCCCCAGGGCCTTTTCTCTGCTTTCTCCCCTGCTCTGGTCACCCACATGGGGAATGTGACTGCTCAGGAAAGGCATCTCCATGTGTATGATCAAGCCCTATGTATAATTAAAACCCTGGGAGGACCTTTTATTTGAATTTTTATTTTAACTGATGTAAATATGAATAATCACCTTATTTTGAAGATGCTCACAAAATCATAAACCAGCCCAAGTTGGAAAGCACATTGAAAGACCATCTGATCTAACCCTTTGTGGGAAAGGGAGCCAAGATGAGGTTATCTATCACCCTGTCCAATTGGATCTTGAAACCCTTCCATGATGGGGACCCCACTATGTCTCTGGGGAGCTTGTTTCAATGATTGATTGTTCTCAATGCAAAAAAATTCTTTCTCATTTCAAGATGAAGCCTCTTCCAGTGTAATTTCTCGAACAGTGTAGGACCCAGTGCTGGTCTCTGAGAGACTGCACTTGTGACAGGCTGCCAGTGCCAGCCTGCATAAAACCCATTGATTGCTGCCTTCTGCTGTGGCCTGAGAGCCAATTCCCTCCCCATGTCACAGATCCCCCCCTCCTTCAGCCTATCTGGTCAACTCATCCAGGAGGAGGCCATGGGAAACATGGTCAAATATTGTGCTGAAGTCCAGGTTAACTACTTCCACTACTCTTCATATATAGACAGAAAATGTCATTTGGCTGTAGAAGGTGGTCAGGTTAATCTGCCATGATTTCCCTCTAATAAATCTGTGCTGGCTTTCCCAATCACCTATTTCATTTGCTTTGTGATAGTTTCTTGGAAGACTGTACTACTTTCCAAGGGCCTGGAGTTATACTAATGGCCCCATAGTTTCCTGTGTCCTCTTTTGTGTTCTGCTTCTGGAAAGCCCTGACATCTGTCCTCTTCCAGCCTCCAGGCACATCCCCTCATCTGTCTGGTCACTAGTAGTGTCCCCAGGGATCAGTGTTGGGCCCAGTCCTGTTTATTGGCAATGTGGATGAGAGGATTGAGTTTACCATTAGCAAATTTATGGATGACATCAAGTTGGGTTGGACTGTCACTCTGCAGAGAAAGTTGGGCAGGTTGGATGAACGGGCTGAGATTAGGGTATGACATTTAACATGACTGAGTGCCAGGCCCTGCACTTCATCCACAACCACCCCAGACAGCACCACAGGATGGGGGCAGAGTGGCTGAAAAGCTGCCCGGTGGAAAAGGACCCGGGGGCGCTGGCTGACAGCAGGTGAACATGAACCAGCACTGCCCAAGTGGCCAAGCAGGCCAATGGCACCTGGCCTGTATCAGGAATAATGTGGCCAGCAGGACCAGGGCAGTGATTGTCCCCCTGTGCTCAGCACTGGTGAGGCCACATCCTGAGTGCTGTGACCATTTCTGAGCCCTTCAGCTCAGGAAGGACATTGAGGTGCTGGAGTGAGTCCAGACAAGGGCAACAGAGCTGTGAGGGAGCAGTTGGGGAGCAGGTGGGGGAGCTGGGGGTGTTTAGCCTGGAGAAAAGGAGGCTCAGGGGAGACCTTATCACTCTCTGAAAGCACCTGAAAGGAGATGGCAGCTAGCGGAGGTAGGGCTCTTCTGCCAGGCAGCCAGGGACAGAGCCTCAATCTGCGCCAGGGGAGGATAAGGTGGGACATTATGAAGAATCTCTTCACAGAACAGGCGATTAGACATTGGAATGGGCTGCCCAGGGAGGTGGTGGAGTCACCTGGAGGTGTTTAGGGAAAGACTGAACGTGGGCTTCAGTGCCATGATGTGGTTGACATGGTGGTGGTCGATCATGGGTTGGACTCGATGATCTCAGAGATGTTTTCCAACCTAACACCGATATTCAAAAATGACAAAGCAGCCTTGCAATGCCAGCTGCTGCTCCTAACTCCGGGGACAGACTTCTTCCTCACTGCTGACAAGAGCCGTGACCCTTTCTCACACATCAGCTCACTGCTGACTCCCCGCTCAGACACCGCTCAGGAACAGCACACATTGGACAGCCAGACCCATACAGCAGGGGCAGCGGGCGAGGCGATCTGCCCCGCGCATACAGCGCTGGGTGCTGGCTGGGGAAGCACTTCAGCCTGGGGCCGGCAGCACAGTCCCCGCACGCCGTACGGGACCTGAGCGGGGGCGGCCCCACTGTCCCGGCTTCCTCCACGGAACGCCGCAACCCCAGCGCCCCCGAGATGGCGCCGCGACCGGAAGACTTCATTTCCCAGCGCCCCGCGTGCCCCGCGCGCCCCGCTCGCCGCTCTTATCTCCCGGCGTGCTGTGCACTCCCGGCCGCTCGGTGCCACTGGGCGGTAGCGCAGGGCCTGCTGGGAGCTGTAGTCTCTCGACGGCGCTCCGGGCCGCGCCCGCCGGCGGTGAGCGGGCGGCGGAGCCTCCGCGGCGGGCGGGAAGAAAGCCTGACCTCCGGGACCGCGGGGGTGGCGGGGGTACCCGAGGGACGGGTCGGGACCTCCGTGGTGTCTGGGACGGGAGCCTGCCCGGCTCCTGGGAGAGGAGGGGGCAGAGGGTGAGCCCCACCGCCCGCAGGAAGCTGAGGAGCGGAGGGGCGGGCATCCCGCAGGACGCGGGCGGCGAGTGCATGGAGCGGAGCGGGCTGCTGGGAGAAGTGGCGGGAGGCAGCTCCTCGCTGCTGTGTGAAGGTCCGTGACCTGCGAATGGAGCTTTCTCAGGAGGAGCTGGCTCTGACCTGTGGGGTTCAACATGTATGTGCCACGCTGTGTGAGATACCCAGGAACCGAAGGTGAACAGGGAAGATGGGCATCGTCCCATCTTTGCTAAAAGGGTACCCGAAATAGGACACACTAACACCAAAGGGATGTAATCCTTTGCCTCCATGTCCTTCGCAGGGCTGGCTCTGCAGTGCAGGGTTTCCCTGTGCTTTGCTATTTTACTAGTTCTGCTGGGAATTGCAGAGAAGAGTACTCTAATAGGAGTTTTCTCCTTTTTCCATGTTTTATCTATGCAGGACTGGCATGCAAGGCCTCATCAGTGTCTGTCACCATCTACGTGCTGATAATGGCTCAGCATTGATGTGACAGCTTTGCTGAACTATTAGATTCCCGTAGCATCAGTTACAGTAATACTCAATTACTAATAATACTAAGTTATCAATACAATAGTAATCTGTGGATTGTTGTTGTTTTTTTTTTTTGGTTGTTTTTTTTTTTTTTTCCTGTAGACTGGCCTCTCTTCCTCTAAAGAAGCAGTTGCCTCTGTGATTAATTCCTAATGTAGTTTTGGTAGAGACTTGTTGTTGGAGTTGTTGAAGATGTCATCAGGCCTTACAGAGGAGCAGAAGAGGAGGATAGAGGAGAACCGACGGCTGGCTTTGGCCAGGAGGGCAGAGAGGCTGGCAGCCCAGGGCGCTGGGCACGGGGGCATCGCTGCAGCTCTGCACACTGGGCACGGGCTGGGCAAGCCGGGCGGCTCCAAGGAGGAAAACAATCATGTCGGGTTCATCAGCCAGCCCCCACGCAATCCAAACACGCCTGTGGAGCAGAGGAGCTGTCTCCAGAAAGGCTATAACCATTACACAGCCAAGCAACAGATGGCTGGCTCACACAGAGAGCAGCTGAAGAGTTGTTCAGAGGACTCGGAGCAAGCAAGTGGCCTAAAGCAGTTCCCTGTGATGATCCCGAATTCTCTGAGTTATTCCCATAAACATTTCTTGGATGCTGGTAGTCAGGAAGATGGACAGCACACTTCAGTTAATCATGGAACATTCCAGCAGCCCAAATGCAACCCAGCGTTCAAAAACCCCACAGGACTGCCTCATCCAAGATTCACTGATAATGGGCACCCTGAGGGTAGTAAAGATTTACAAACTCAGGACAAATCTGCCACTAAATATGTTTCACCACCAAGTGATGCAGAAATGCTGGAAAGCATGAACACAGTGACAGAAAGAACAGGGGGAGGTTTTGTCTCTCAGGCCAGTGGTGGGATGCAGAAGCTGGCCACCTCTGCTGGTGTGGGCTCTGCCTTTGAAGCTGCCTCTCACAAGAAAGCAATTAACGTTACAAAAGGAAAATGTGTGAAATATGGGGAAGACCGATTCCAGGTTGAAATAGGGTACAATGCTGAACTTATTGCTGTGTTTAAGAAGGTTCCAAGCAAAGCCTATGGTAAGAATTGTTTGCTCTTATCTCTGTTTTAAATTGGGTTGAAGTTTTGGCGTCTTCTGCTATTTTAGTTGCTACTTGCTCTTACCAATATACCTATTGCTGGGGTGGAATTTGTGGTATTAATGGAGGATTAAAGAAGTAAATACAGATTAAATTGGATAGGAATTCTGGACATAAATAGCTTGAGCTTGGATTTAGAAAAGAAGTCTAAAGCCTTGCTTTATGAGCAGTGCTCTGAGAAGTTAAGTGGCAGCAGCTGGTCAGTTTGTTGGAAGAGAAGGAAGCAAACTTATTCATAAACTGGGATGTGAAAATGGGTCATTTCAGCCGTAATTCAGAGTTATGAGCTGATTCTGTTTCCTGGGTGACAGCGAGCAGTGGAATCTCTCCCTTTTGTTTTTCTTCTAATATTTTACCATTATCTTTATTTGTTTTATTCTATTTCTGTTTTCCCTCATGTGTTGCTGATCCCTGTGAATGGCTGTTGCATTCCTGTTTAGTATTCATATTTCCTGTGTTTTTTTCTGGTGTCATGTAGCTGTAAACATGGGCATAAGTGTTTTTCAGATGTGTGGCAAAAATTTTGCATGAGTAGATTGAATACTCTTACCTCACATGAACATTTTATGGCACCACTTTTTTTCTGCCCCAAATGATTCATATTCTGCCCTATTACTCTTGCCCTACTTTAGATCCTGCTATGAAAAAATGGAATTTCAGCATGGAAGATTACAGCAGTGTCTGTAAGTAAATGTTGAATGATAAAAACAAGTGGAATCTTGACACCTCCTCCTTCCCCTGCTTTCCATAGTTATTGTTTAGCTTTGTTAGTGTCTTGAGTAATAAAAGTAGTGCTACTTAAAGATAATGCCCATCTTTTAGGCAACAAGCTCATAACATTTTTCTGATATTTTGTAGTTGATTAGAAATAATTTAATTTTTCATGTAATCTAAATACCAAGCACAGGTTGCCCTTTCTCTACCATTGCATTTTTTCAGCAACCAACAAGATCATAGGAAAATTATCTGCTGTGCTGGTACTTGTTTTGAATTTGTTTTGAAAACTGTGTTCTAGTGGCTAATGCTTAATTTCTGGGTCCATTCATGTATTTTCTGTTTAAATAGCTCTTCTATAAACACATTTATTGTTCATTTTGTGTGTCAGAAAAGGGTAAAGTGTAGTTCTCCAGAGCTTTGAGTGAGACTGAAAATGAATTTGCCCTTTTTTTGGTATAACAAAGGTGGGTTCATCTTTTTTTTCCTCTCCTGTCATCTTATTCTGGAAAGATGGAGAGATTATAGAGGCAAACACTTCAGGTAGGCTCTTCAGAAGCACACTGTACTGAAGTGAGCGATAAATCACTATTGATTTCAGTGCGAACAGAATTAGGCCTGTGTTGAGCACTTTAAAAAACCACAGTTGAGTGCTGGTATTTTAGCTTCCCATGTGGGTTGCCACACATTTATAATTTAAATGCTGTTGGCTTGCTTGAAGTGTATCAAGTACAGATGAGAGCAGAGTCTCTGCACCAGGGAGCCTGCAAACGAAGATAATGTTTTTTAGAAATCAAGCATTTTTCTTTAAAGCTATGAAATACCTGAGTGCTCTATGGAAGGTTCCTGTTTACAAGTGAAGACAGTATGTGACCAAGATTGGCCTGTGAAATTGAGGAAAATAGTCTGAGAAAAGGGAGCTAACTTAAAAGGGCCTTGAAATGTAAAAGTGAAAGCGTAAACCAATTATTTTTAAGGTTCCCACTTGTAATTTAGTTTTTCTGAATAATGTGATTCTGTATCACCTTTTTTTTTTCTTTGTACTATAAACTAACCTTGCAGTCAACCCTAGAAACAAATGTTGAAATAAAGGAGTAAAATAGGCTTTTTTCCTCCCTAATTTCTTTCAGTTTTAGTTGTAGAGGTGACCTCTAACTACACAATGCTAAACCAGTAGGATCTACAGTCTTCTGCTTGGTGCATTGGGAGGAGAAGGTATTGGTGTTTTCCAATCCCTCTAATTTAAAAATTATTTTCAGTGGGTACTCTTAAACTTTTTATTTGGAATAGAAATCTCAAATGCTTGGATTTATTCAGGAAATCACTTATTTTAAAATAAGGTTGGATGATACCCAAATGGTTTATTTATTAATTGATTAGGAAGAAATTGTCTGATTTTTTTTTTTCTCCATTTTCACATCTTGACCACTGAACTTAAAGTTTGTACTTTTTTGTTGTGTATCAGTTTTCTGGACTAGTTAAAAAGAAGCAGAGAGGAGCATCATGTGCAGCTCAGTGCTCAAAAGACTGGATTCACCTGGGTTTATGCTAAACATCTCCCAGAGAGGGAAAGTTGCCTTTTACAAGTACTTGAAGAGAGAGTGTGCTTAATGGTCCCCTGCTTTTGAGTGTAATGGACTCTGGAGATGTTCATGAATCTTTGTGTTACTGTAGTATCTGTGAGGTGGAGGCTTGGGCACAGACTTCACTACTTTGGTGCTGTAAAAAGTACAAGAAATAGTATTTCTTAACCATCAGAGTTCTGTTATAATAATAAAGGCAACACAAGGGTATGGATTGGCAGAGAAACACAGGGGTAAGTGGCATTTTTATTTCTGTGGACAGCTGTGTTCTCAGGCTAATATCAGTAAAATGCTGTGTCCCTCCAGTCTCCATGCCCTGGCATTGTGTCAGAAGTGATTGCTGGTGATGGGCAGGACAGGAGTGCAGGTGGCTGGGTGGAGGTGCAAGTCTAACTGTAGGACGCAGAATAAAGGGTAATAAAGGTTAAAGGGAACTTAAATTGTAACAAAAGAGATTTAGGAATTTGGACTGGATTCCTTCCTACAGCATTCCTCCTAGGTGGATTGTCTATCAGACATTGATGTGAAGCAGGAGGCAGATTTTTAAGTTTTTCTCCTTTGTTGTTTACAGAAGCACCTTCCCATCTTTTCAGACATATGCTATTGATCACCATGCCCCCGTCCCTGTGATTTTCTGAGTTAAAGCACTGTAAGGCTGGGTGCAATTTACTGCTAAATGTGCTTCTGCAGATTGCTTGCCCTGGCCTAGGGAGCCACATTTTAGAATTGCTGACAGAGAGGGAGCTTAGTGCAGTCACAGTGCTGGACAGGCCCTTGTTCATTTACTATCACATGTTCCCTTTGCCCCTGCTTCATTCTTTGTGGAAAATCCCACCAGCCTCCTCCTCCAGGTCATTGCTTTCTCTATTCTTTGTCCCTGTGAATGAAAGCAGGGAATCATCATCCCTTTTAAACTTGTGTGGGTTCTTTGTTATTAATTCTTTTCTATATCTCTGTTCTCCCTAGTGGAAGCAGCAAATCAACTTTCATCAGTAATTCTGGCACCACTGGAAGGAGAAAGTGTGGTTGGCTTGGCATCAGGCTCTCATTTTGTTGGCAGCAGGGTTGATGTGAAATCCCTCTTGAAGATGTGTAAGAGCTGGAAGAAGCCCTCAGCCCTGGTCAAGGGGAAGTGTGTGCTCATCTCCCGCCTGCGATTTGAGGTCGATGTTGGGTATTCTGCAGAAGTGATTGCAGTGTTCAAAAAGATGGATTCCAGAAATTATGGTGAGTCTCCTGCTGTGTCTGCTTTGTAATAATGGCCGTGTTGGGGCTGCTCTTGCTTTGTAGATAAGAGGTTGTGAGAGTACATCCCTCTGAAAGAGCACAAGAGAATATGCTGTGGTGAAGATTTTAAAAGATCTTGTAGTTCTAGTTCAGTGTTGTGTCCATGTCCAGCACTTTATCCCATGGCAGAACATGTCCTCAGCCTGTTAGCTGAGGTGATAGTTCGCATCTCAGCATGATTACATTGACATTTACTGTAAATACTGTAAATGAGGTGGGTTGTGCTGATAATCTGCCAGCAGTATGGAGACCATGCAAAGTTCTTGTCTTTATTATCAAATGCAGCTGGATGTTCTCTTACTTCTGCTTTACTGTGGTGTACAGTGGCTGCAACTGCCTGAGCAGATTTAGTTTGCCAGGAGTTTTACCGATGTTTTCAAGGCAAGTGTAACTGTAGAGCACTCTCTATATTGGCATTTAGATTTCTATGGGAAATATAATTTTTTTTCCATTTGTAATTCGAGAAATGAGACACAATGAGGTGACATGCACAGTGTCACAGAAAGTCAGTGACACTGACATGGAAAAGAAATTCTGGAACTCTAATTCTTTGGGTAGGGCCCCACCTCCTCATTGTGCCTTCACCTGACTCTGAATTCAATCTTCTTTCCCTGGATGTTGCACACAGATGCTGCCCAGGGATAAGCCTGCCAGATAGGTCTGGCATTAAATTTGGATATTGATGAATTTCCTCCTGCACCCTCCTGAGCACTTTGACTCTAGGGTATGGAGGCACAACTGAAAGTGATTTTTTTACTGACTGAAGTCAGAATTTGTTGGTTCACAAGCAGAAACTTTGCACACATCCTTCATCCCTTCTTGCAGTGAAGAAAAAGTGGTTCCCAAAATCCTTGAGCAGATGGGTGTGTTAGGAGAGCTGATCTTGGCTTGCTCTGGTGATACCACCATTTCTAGATATGTGGTCATACTTTTAAACCTTCTCCAAACTAACTGCTTAACATGACAACAAACAGAGGAGAATTGATTTTGATCAAGGTAATAGTTCTTCTAAAATGGACGGAGAATTCAGTCTTTTTTTAAAAGAGGCTTATGACAGTGTTTGTTGTAACTATTGCAGATATGAATACCAGAAAGTGGAATTTCCTGCTGGAAGATTACCCCAAACTAAGTGAGTAGCTGTGTTTCTCCAGTCAAGGAGAACTTTTGTGCATCAGTTTCTGTCTATTGCCTTTTGCCTTTATGTATCTGTATAATCCTGCTGAAACTGTGACTTGCCAAGCTGAAATGTAGAACTGTGTTTTGGTATGTTTTTTTTTTTTTTTCCTAATAGATGCAACTTTGCAGAATCATCCAGTCTCTGCAGCATGCTTCTAGCACATCTGCTTCTCAGGTTTTTATGTTTAATTGAGGTTATAGAGTGCTTTGAGATGAATAGCATTACACAAGTCCTATAGATTGTAACTATTATTTATCATCCCAGTCAGCATGCTGCGTTTGCTTCAGTGCTCATGTGAGGGTTTGAGGCTGTGGAATTTGGTGGGGGTAAGTTTCAGAAGGAGAATAAGCCAGGTGCTCTCTGCACATCCTTAGGAAGTGTGAGTGTTTCAGAGGTGAAATGCTGTTGCTCAGAGTGCTTGTTCTCCAGCATGGGCTCCTCCTTCCATGGGATACCAGAGTGTGTTTAATAATTGAGTAAGTGCCTGCTTCTATGATGCATGCCTTAATAACATTAGTAATGGTTGTAGGGCTGAAAGCCCTGTGGTGGGGCTGTGTAGGAAGGCCAGGTCTTGAGAACAAGTGAGTGTGTCTTGGAGGAGACTTTTATGGAACTGCAAGATTAGGATGTTGACATTCGTGATTTTGGTGAGTGCTGATGATCACTCACAATTTGCTCAGAAGGCCTTTTGTGCATGCAAAGGGCCTGATCCTGTAGCATGTCCCAGGCAGCGTGAGCAGGCACATCCCCTCCTAGTCTGTCATGGGATCAGTCATGCTGGCTGGGAGTTGTACACATTACATGAGGTATTCAGAATCCCACAGATTTGAGGAAAGGAAAATAATTCCATGAATCTTGCAGAGTGTAATTTGTGAGGGCATTTGAGGATTCCAGCACGTGCCTTTTAGAGGAGCAGCATTTGCTTTGTTGCCTGTTCATTTGCCTACATCAAAATTAAAAAAAGAGAATTTAGGCTGGATGCCATTTCCAGCAGAGAGATCTGTTAGCTGGGAACTGTTTGTAGAGGTTAATGTCTCTTTGCCTAGTTGCTCAGTCATCTTTATATAAAGGTCACTTCACTAAAAACTGTCTGTTGGATGAATCATGCTGGTGGCAGATATATCTTAATCACTCTCCCAGCTCATGTACAGAACAATAGCAACAGAATTATCAGTGAGCAAATTGTAGCAATTATGCTAACACACAGCTCGGTCTGTGAGTGTAATAACAAGCTTGTGCTGTTCTTTGGATGGAGAGAGTTCCTGCTATTGAAGAAGTATAAATTAAACCTGAGAGTTTAAAAAGTTTGGTCATTGCCCAACTACAAATGGAAATCTTTTCATATGTATATTTCTTGGAATTGCTTTCCCCCTTTATATGGCAGGGGTCCATCCTGCTGTTTTCCTCTTGGAGACTATTGAAACAAAAATACCTAATTGAATTCTGGTGCATTTACTGCTGGTATGGTGAGTTCTTATTTTAGTTGTTTTTCCAAGCAGGTTTTTTTTTGCCTTCTGGACTTCATATACAAACCAAGTATTAAAGAAAAAAAAGGAAGCTGCTTCCTGCAATAAAAATTTGTGCCCCTGCATTTGTGTTCCTAGTGTAGAGGTGTCTTTGATTTCATAGTCACTGGACAAAAATTATTTAATAAGTTCTCCTGGTTACAGCTCACTGCATGTTTAAAACTGGGGTTAATTTGCTTATAAATTAACTGTTGGATTAAAAAGAAACACTTATTTTTGGGGGGATGGGATAGAGAGGCTGTTGGAGGGGTCTAAAGTAAGGTTGTCCAGGAGGAGAATTGGCTAGATGCTCTGGTTATGATGTGTGGGTTGAAAAGATCCAGGCTCTGAGGTCTTGGCATAATGGATGCCAGGGATCCCTTTAGTCAAACTGGGAAGGTAAAGTTGTGAGGCTTCATGGGTGAAGGAGCACTAGTACTGAGGAACTGAAGTGGCTGCCTGTGAGCTGGTTCTGGCCTGTGAGCTGCTTCTGTCCAGGAGAAGAGCAGTGGCCACCAGCTGTGCACGGAGGTGCTATGGGTCCTGAAGGATGCCTGTTGGAGTGCTGCTGGTGGTGGTACAAAAGCTGTTTCTCTGAGTCTTGAGGTGCTTCCTGCTATCTTACCCAGTGTGGTAAAGTGGAGGCAGAACCCAACTGTGTGAATTCAGGGAACAGGAGGAGAAGAGAGTTTTCAAAATTCAAGATGAATTATATTCTTTAGGTAACTGTCTTCAGTCACTTCTGATGGTTTTGGCATGGTGGGCACCTCAGAGGTACAGAATCCTAAGGTTATGGTAAAGATGCCCCTGCTTTCTAGGCTTCAGGAGCTCTTTTTTTTTCAAATATGTACTTCAATTCTGAGTAAAGTGTGCCCTGAACTGCCCTCATCATGAATAATCCAGCTCCAGCTGTATTAGTAGCAATCGTCTCTGAATGATGGCATCAGAGTGGCAGTTTTTTATAATCAAGTCTAAGTAAGAGGGGAGGAGATGTGATTCATCATGTGGTTCTGAAATAGACTTTAGGGAAGAGGCCAGGCTAACACCTGTGCATGATGCTATGATTTCTGTGACCTGTTTCAGGATAGGAGATGATATTTTTGACGAGGTTGAGGGTTGTGTCCTGAGATCCATAATGGAAGTTTTGTGTGTGTTGTCCTTCAGATAATGAACTGCTCTGTTCTTTGCAGTGCAAGAGTTACTGAGCCTCGTGTCCGTAGAAGTGGAGCCACTGCCTGAAGCAGTAATTAAGACCTTTGCTGCTCAGCTCCAGAGATCTCCATCACTGACAGACATTCCTGATGCTGACCTTTCAGGAGTGGACTCCAAAATTGTGACGAGCCTCATGCCCTTTCAGCGGGAAGGTGTGAAGTATGTCCTTTTTGCATGCTGTTAAGCACTAGTCCTTGTCTAGAATTGTGTCATTTTTATTGGTGCCAAGGTTGCCTTCTTGTCCATGGAGGGCTCTGCATTTCTCTAGAGTCTGGGCCTATTATACTCTGCCACTTTGGGCTTTTGATTATTTGGTATAGGATGGTTTGTTTAGGACTTTTAAAAAGTTTTTTATTATTTTTTGGGTGACACATCTGTTTTATTTCTAGATAGAATTCGTCATGAGTCAGGTGGAAAGTAGTATTTTGCTAGCCTAAAAAATTGATCAAATGATATATCTCTGATCTCCCTCTTGTGATTCAGTATGTACATATTTGTCATATGATTTTTTATTTTGTAAGGTAATTGGTTTTTTTACTAAGTGCATCTCTTCTGTTGTTGTTGTTTTTTGAATATTAAATATGCATGGGAAGGGACCAAGAAATGGGACCCAAGCCCTAAAACATTTTAAATTACTAATTATATGTATAGATAAAAGTTTAAATGTCCCTGTCCCCATCATATATATATTCAATAGTTGTTGATTTCAATATGCAATCCAGGACAGTCTGTACTTAATGGTCTTAAATTGCTATTGTTGTTAGTAATAATTTCTTAGCCAGAATGAACTCTGGAACACAATGTGAGTAATGTAATGGAAAAAATGTGCTTTAAATAATTGTAAGGTCTTGAGACTACTTCTCATATGAAATCAAAGATTTCATATGAGAACCACAACTGAACCACTCTGTTAAGGAGTTTGCGAGCTTTGAGAGATTTGTGGGAGTTGCTCACTTGTATGAAGACTGAGGGAGAAAATCCAGGTTTACTGAAGAGCCCAGATCACTTACAGGTAATCCACATCAGAGGCTTCATCATGACTTGTGCTCATCATGGTTGCCAGATATAACCCATCGCTTGACTCTTCTTTCCCTCTGTTTTCCCCAGTTTTGCCATTTCCAGAAAGGGACGTTTGCTGCTGGCGGATGACATGGGCCTGGGCAAGACCATCCAGGCCATCTGCATTGCTGCCTATTACCAGCAGGAGTGGCCCTTGCTGGTGGTCACTCCTTCTTCTGTGAGGTTTACATGGGCAGAGGTACTGTGGGCTTGGCCATGGGCAGGGGTCAGTGAAGAGCCTGTGGGATGGTTACACTGTGCTGTGCTTTGCAAAAGTTAAACTACTATTAAGGCAAAGAAACAAAAAAATGTACTGATTTAGAAATTTGATGGTGGGGAAAATGCTTGGCATTGACTGTATAGTATATGCCTAATTTTTTTTTATTGGCTGATTTTCTTTTCATAGTCCAGCTGATCTGTTGGGAAGAGGGACAGCTAGAGAAAGTGTGTCCTCTGACTCTGTGTTAACTTTTTTCCTGCAAGTCAGTTGGCTCCAAGTGGGCATTTTACTCATCAGTTTCAAAGATAATAGTTACATTCAAGAAATTGTCTGGTATTTGAGCCCATCATAGCAGTATTTGCCAGTTTCTTGGCTGGAGCAGAGTCCCAGATGCTGGGATTCTCCATTCTGTTCAAAAAGCCCCATTATCATCATCATTGTCTCTCATAATAAGTCTTTTGGCCTGTCCAGTGTGTGCTGCTGACTCCTCTGAGTCCTTTATTAATGTTGGTCAAAGCCCAAGAGAGCTTGTATGGCTGAGAAATGTGTCTTGAAATAAATCACTGCCATAGTGTGTACCCTGAGGCTGCTGGGTTGCCATAGGCTAGTGAAATGTTCAGTGTGGGAGAAAAAGGTGAACCAGAGCTTTCAGGTCAGTGAATTCTTTCCAGAGAAGGAGTAGGTGGGAATTTAGCTTTTCCTGGAATATGGCATTGATGAGAAAAGTATTGATTTGGATTTGCTGGTTTTGTGCTATAACCAGGTTGTTAGAGCATCTTGGTGTGAGTTTCATTATCCAGTAGTGCAACAAAATGCAGGGGGAAAAGAAGATAAAGTTGTTTACTGAGAAAGGGAGTGGTGCTCATCATACTTGAAATCTCAGGGTCTGTAGACCTGTGGGACAGCACCTAACCTGAATCCATCTGTGGGTTATCTACCAGGAACAATTTGGGCCTAGGTTTCCTGAAGTATTGGGCAACTGCAAATAAACTTCTATGTTCTTCTTCAGGAGATTTAAGAAATATGAGGCATTTTTGTCTGGTTGTTTTGGTTTTTTTTTTTTTGAATTTGAGTGCTTGATTTCTTCCTTCCCCTACTCCCAGCTGCCCAGGAGGCTCCTGTGGGAGATGTTTTGTTAGGACACTTGCTTTAGCGATCTGGTTGATTTTTGAGTATGTGATGGATGTGGATGTAAGAAAAATGTGTCACAGAAATTCAGAAGGTGAAATTTATTATAGTCTGTAATCTACTCAGTTCATTCTTGTACAGATGTGCTGTACTAATGGTTACAAGTTTTTGTGGTGTCTCTGGAACCAAATCAGCAGAAATTTTCTTCATGTTAGCGATATCAGTGTTGTATTTTGACTTTCTGCTCAGGCCACTGAGTGACCTTATAGTCAAGGTGCCATGGGAAGGGACAAGGTACTCTTGGGTCTGAAGTGTTGCACCCCTGTGCATTTAGATTTCAGCATTGAAACTTAAATAATTAACAGGGTGGTTTCATAGCACTCCTTGTGGACTAAGGTCAGCCTCCAGTAAAAAATTCAGGATCAATTTTATGGTGTAAATTAGTCCCATGCCCTTTATAAAAGGAGAGGGCTGTACAGTAGGAGTTTCCAGGTACTTTCCTTTTGCTGCCATCTTTGTCTTAAATTCTGATGTGGTGTCAAACACATCCTTTTCTGGGTGGTAACTAACCTTGCCTGCACATTTGCTCATTTGGTGGTGCTTTCAGTGAGTGGAGAAGGATAGTTCATTGTTACTTTCTCACATACTGAGAAATGTGAGAAGCTCACTTTTAACTGCTGCTGCATGAGATTGCTGAACAGTGGAGAGGAATGATTGTGGTCTGGGGATTTCAACAGGCAAAGCTCCTAGAGACAGAGATGCCATTTCTCATCACCATTTGGTTACATGTCTGTAGGGACCAGATCCTGATGGGCCCAGACAGTTTTCTGCAGAGCAACATCAGCAGAACTCAAATGTTGCAGAGAGCTTGGTGTCACTGGGGACAGAATTACAAGGGAAATGGTGGGTGGTCTGGCTAACAGATGGGTTTGGGGGAGGATATCTTGCTCTGGTGTGTGGAGCATTTCAAGAGGTTGATTGAATGACAATTACCACATGAATTTCAGCTGCTGTCATAGAGCAGCTGGTGTGTTGTCAACTTGATCTTTTCATTTTGGTTTTGTTTTTTTGGTTTTGGGGGTTTTTTGGTGGACTTTTTAAGAAGAGGAGGTAGTGGAAGGGTTTTGTTCATCTGGATGAGTTGTACTTCACCCTCACCATGGAGTAAACATTGCTATAGTCATAGATGTTTACTGCTTAGAAGTCTGTGTTTCACAGCTATAGGTTCCTGTTGAGTGGGAAAACTAAATTTCCCTGTAAGCAATGGTCACAGTATTCTCTGGCTCTGAGCATAGCAGGTACCTTTCTCAAGAGGTTATGCACATTTCCACTAAAGATCAAATTTTTATTTGGTTTTTTGGGGTATTACTGAGGTTGGTTTGTTTTTCTTTTGTTTGTTGCCTTTGGTTTTTTTTCCACTAAGAGGGAATAGGGTTTGAGCTTTCCTTGCTATATAAAGTAGATGTTGCCTTGTAGCCTGGGTTCTGTTCTTGATGTTCCCATTACCAGGGAGGTTGCCATGGGAAGGCTGCTTACCCTTACTGTGCTCCAAAACAATGTCTAATGGTGGATGGGATGGGTCCATGTTCTAAATATTCATGAGGATGTTCTGTGTAGTGCTTTGGGATCTTGACAAAGAAGATATGCACCAGAATGCAATTAATTTCTTTCCTCTTCCTCCAGGCATTTCACAGATGGCTTCCATCCTTGAGTCCAGGAAGCACCAATGTTGTAGTGAGTGGGAAAGACAACCTAACAGGAAGCTTGATCAACATCATCAGTTTTGATCTCCTCAGCAGGATGGACAAGCAACTTAAGAGCACATTCCAAGTAGTTATTGTTGTACGTGGTACATGAAAATCTTCAAGTTAATTGTATGCTGCAAATGGGGTAGCCTTTGTACAGCAAAAAAGTGTGAAGTTGGCCTTATTTAGGACTGAAAGTATCTTGTAATTGTGGCTGTGATCACAGCTGTCTTCATGAGTACAAACATGAGGTTTCTCTGAAACCTGTTGAAATAACTAGTAGAGTTTAATTCCTTTGTGATTCCTAAGGCTGTGTTTTCACTTACTGGTTATGGTGCCTCTCTGATTTCATTGTGCTTGGCCATGTCCTCTGCTGGAGAGAAAAGTGTTTAACGTGGTGTGTCAATACAGTAGTCATGGCATTGTATCTTCTTAAGTCTTGGACTTCAGGGTGCTGTTAGTGTTTATCCAGTAAAGCAGATAACCTTTCAACATCAAGTATGTGGGTAAAGCATCAAAAACATCTCCCTTAGTTTGTGTTCCACTGACAATCTGCATTAAGCCTTCTTTGATCATTTGTATCGTTTCTTTTGTAAATTACTTCAAATTCCAGTATTTATCTTTTTACAGAGCCACAGTAAATGGCATTTTTCTGGATTTCAGTTACTAAAAATTCAAAACATCTAGTGTTTCAAATCCAGCTTGGATCAACAGAGAGCAAAAGTGTACATGTAGCTTACTATGGCTATTTGATGTTCTCAGTCTGGTTTTCAGCACACACACACCTGCCCAAAGATCATGACAATTGGAACATACTAATCTTTCTGTTTCTCAGCTTCAGATGGGAATGTGGTAATAGATGGAGTTCTTTGGAGACCAAGCTACTCATGGGGGAACTGATCTTTTTCATTTTTATATTTTGTCTCCTACACACACTGACTAAACATTTTGTCAAGGTGGAAATGCAGATTATTATTTTTGTAGGCTTGAGGCTACTGCCTTGGAACTTTTAACCAGCCCTGAACTGGCAGATGTTCTTTCTGTGTGTTTGTATGTTCAAATTTGGACCCTTGGTGGGTTTTTACCGATGAGAGTAGTCCTACTGAGTGCTGAGCTTTCCTGCTTTTTCTTCCACTCTTCTTTTGATGGCTGGAAAAATTAATGTAGCTTATTTGTTATTTGGGAGGGAGAAGGCTGTGTCTGAGAGGCTAAGCAGTTACATTGTCTTTGCATGCTTGTTTCTACACACATGGAAAGATGAGAATATACCCTTGGAGGGTGCCAACTGCTTTTTGTGCCTTAAATTCTGCCTTACTAGAGCAGAAGTGAAGCCCATTTGAGGGTGATGTCTGAAGTAGGAGGCTATTACCCACCTGGTGAGCCCTATCAGAAGAACAGTTGGATCTTAATTAGATTTCTTTTTTCCTTATCATTTGCATTAACCCCTTATTAAGGGAACTGGAAGTGTATAGGCCTCCTGTGTTTGCTGCATTTAAAAGATACATAGGGGCAAATGAGTATCAGTTATGGCAATAATATTCCTCTTTCTCCTCCCCTCTCCAGCCCCCTCTGCTCACTTTTTTTTGGTGTTCATTTATGATTCATGCCTGCAAGGTTTGATTTTGTTCCATTTGATTGCAGCTGCAGGTTGGAGTGCAGGAAGCCTGCTACTCTGCATCCTGTCTTTTTGTTCAGAATTTGATGTGACTATTCCAATGCCTGAAATATCCTGAATGAAAGGCCTGTAATGCTAGATAGCTGAAAACACTGGGAATTTGTTCTGTGACTGCATTTGGACTATGGATCTGAGCTGACTTTGCTTTCATGCTTGTTTTGTTTCAGGATGAATCTCATTTCCTGAAGAACACAAAAACTGCACGCTGCCAAGCTGCCATGCCTCTACTCAAGGTGTGTTTGCTGGCTGCCAAAGCTCTGAGTGCTAACGTCAGGCTCCCAGGGCAGTGTAGCTCCACTTACCAGGTTTAGGAAACAGCAGCTGAATTCTTCTGGTGTGTAAGGGGAAATCTGGGTAGTAGTGTAGATCCAAGACTGAAATTGGACTTTACCACTTGTTTCTATACAAATATTAGATGGTAAAACCTAACAAAACAACTTCAAAAGCTCGATACAATTGTGGTACTGCCACTGATGAGTTCTGGGATGACAGGGAGAAGGGAATGTCAGAACTTACTGGATGTATTCAGGGAGGGGACACAGAATATAGTGGTGTCAAAATAGCTTGTTAAATGAAAATAATCATTATCAGTTGCTTCTTGGCACACAGATTGCTGCTGCATGTCAGACTGGCATTGCCTAGGGCCCTTCCCTGGTTTTAGGGTTCTAAACTGTTACTGCAGGCTTCCAGTGCACGTGTGTGTCTGGGGCTTAGGAGCATTCCTGCTGGTTACGTGTACAGAGCTACTGGGAAGTGGCAGAATGTGAGGTTTGTGGGACAAGTGGCCCACAGAAGGGAGGCAGTAGTCAATTATAAGATACCAGGAGAAATGTAAATTCTAATATTTGCCTGTTGTCCTGGGATCAAAGACTCAAACTCACCCTGGTGGCCTCTAACAGATATAGATTAAAGTTAGGGGTAGTTTCTAGACACTGCAGGGTCTGTACATTGGAAGAAGGTAGATGCAGTTCCTCTTCAGCAATTAAGCAACAGTATGTATAAAGGGAAGATCTGATCTGTGATGGCTTTATAGCAACCACCTTTAATATGCAAGATTCTTAATGGCTTGCTGAAGATGGTTGTCCTTGAATAACTTGGTTGTTCTCCTTAAAGGCCTGACTCTTCTCTTAGTTTTCAAATCACTTCAGGCTTTTAATGCTTGGAAGCTTAAGTGGGAGGTCCAATTCTGTGAGCAGTTTGAAATACAGTAATTAGGGTGTATGACTGAAAATTGTGGAAAATAACAAATTCGCCCTCATTTTGAGCAGAATGCTCAAAACCCAGCCTCATCCTTTGCTACTTGAAGCTTTGTAAGGATCAGCTTGTCAAAATTATTTTCAGGCTGCAAGATATGAGAGTGAAAGATGGTAGCTGTTAGGCAGAGGTTAATTGCCTGTATGCACTTCCTGAGAATTTACAGTTTTATGCTGTCACATCACTGGTCTTAAAGAATTGAGAGCTGATGCTTCTGAAACTGAATTTCAGTCTTCTGAAAGCATTAAGAGTTTTATATTCATATGAAACAGGGTGCATTATCTCACCTGCAATGAGCATGCAGTACCAGATGTTTCGTATTAGATGTTCAGGTAAATTCTGTTTGCCTGCTCGCTGACTAAAATTTCTGAAGTACTTGCTGTAATAGCCATTTTTCTTGCTTTCCAACATAGGCATTTTGCTCTAAAACTATTTCCTTTGGCAGCTGTGTCTTCAGCTCCTAGTGAGTGATGCTGTGGTCACTCCTGGCACAGCACATCACACCAGTATTTTTGTGTTTGAAAGAACTTTTTGTATTTGAAAGAACTGCCAAAATATCAGGAGCTTTCATCACTTAAATACTGAATCTAACAACTATACTATGTGATACCTATAGTAAGTAGCCAGTGGCATAGAAATGGGAGTATTTTCATTCTTTTACATGATACCTTGAAATTACTGAATAAGAAGTGTGGCTAAACATGCTGCTGAAGATAATATTCTTATTCTTGCCTTCTTTATGTTAAAAAGGTTTGAGCAGCAGTAGGGCTCTTAGAAGAGAGCACAAAAAAGTTGTAACTGTATAAGCAAGTCCTTGAGAGGTAAACTGCTTCTAGTACCTCAGTCCCTACCTTAAGGTTACAGTGTGCAGCTGTGCCAGTGCTGTAACCAGACGCCCTGGAGCTAGTGCATGCCTTGTTTGTTTACCTTCTGAGCATTGCCATTTCTAACTGTTAGCATAATACCACTTTAAACTACCTGAAATTGCCATAGTTGCTGGTATTTCCTATGAGGACCTCAATATCTTAAAGCATAAAACTTGAACGGACTTCTAGGGACCAAAAAAAAGAAACCTACTTAAGAAATGTGATCCTTGGCCCTTACATGCTGCAAAGATTTGTGAGTCCATAATGACACTGGACAGATCTAAGTTAAAATGTTTTGGAGATTAAAAAAAAGTAATTAAGTATGGATGGAACTGAAAAAAATTTCTATCTTGATAGAATTTGCACTTTCAACTTCTCCATCTGAATAATAAATGAAATACATAAGTTGTTGCAAGTGTTTATACAGAACTGCACAATAATGGGATTAAATTGGTACATTGATAATGAAGATGACATACCTTGGATATTAGTTTCTAATTTGTCTTGTTAGATAGCCAAACTGAATTTCCACCTCTCAGATCTTTATCTCATTGTTACAGCATTTAAAGCCTTATTTTAGTTTTTATGTCTGATGTTGACAGGTTTTCAAAATGGTGTTTTTAGCCAGTCAGTCATAATTGATCTTTTCCTGCTCTGTTGTATATATTGCAGAGCAAGTGTGGTATGGAGTTGTCAACCAAAGCCATGTATTAAACATGTCACCTAAGTTTGCCTGTTGGGGATTTTTAGACATCTTTTTAATATTAACAAAAGCTGCAGATTTGGTGTGTGCAGCACTCAGTATCTTTTCTGACATACTTGGCTGCTACCCTGACAGAGATTCAGAAAAGTTTTACTTGAGACAAAGGAAGAAATTTTGTAATGGCTGGATGTATGCAGTGGCTGTGCTGGCTGCCTCATGGCTTACCCCAGCTTGTCATTAGTTTAGAGTAAATATATAGACATGTTATGCCAAATTTACGGTTAGCGGACAGAACTTTGAGAGGAACAGTGAGATAGAGTGAAATAGCAGCAGGATGATGTTTAGGCCATATATCTTATTCCCTTCATGTTCCAGTGCGTGTGCAGACTTGCTCTGTCTGCCTAAGTGAAAGGAGGTGGTAGAGTTTGCACACAGTCTGTGTGCATCCCTGCAGAATTATGGAGAAGGATGGATTGAAAGCTGTAGTAGAAAACAGTCCTTTGATGTTTGGTCATGTGGCAGAAATGCTGCTTTCAAAGTCAGCCAGCTTTCACACCAGCAGGTCTGTGCCAGCAGCTGCCTGAGATTTGTCCCCAGCTGCAGCAGCTCTCACATACTCAGAGGCCAGAGGTTGCTGTGTTCAAAGTGATCTTTGTGTCTTGTTTCCATGCACATCAAAGTGAGAATAGCTTCATACTGTTGGGCTGTAGTTGAGTCACCAAAAGGCCTTGTTAGGCCTGGCATGTCCTTCCCCCTAACTCAAAGCTGTGTCAATTGGTAATAGGACCTGCCTGTCATCTTGCTGTTTTCTGTAGTCTCGTGTTTGGGACTAAGTTCTCCTAGGCATAGTGACAATACTGGTTTTTCCCTTCACCTCTGCCCTGGATCTGCTTCCCTCAGAGGCAGAAAGTGTCAATAGTGTTACACTTTTTGTAAGCATTTTGGTTTTTGCTTCTAAGATTAGACTGGCTCAGAGACATAAACACAGGAGAGGCAGTATACATACTACCAATGTCCTTAAACCAGCAAAGCCTCAGGGATGTGGAAGGAGAAGAAACAAAACAAAAGTTTTTCACTGATCTGTAGTAGGATCTCTTGGGGACCAGAGTGGAAAGGATTCTACTTATCTTGACCAGCCAAGGTGCTGCATGGTCTTTATTCTTCTGCAATTGCATGGAATACTGCAAGGCATGGAAACTAGGGAATGGAAAATGGATGAGTTTTTTGGAAACATTACAATAAGTAGTGAAGAACTGCACTGATAAATAAAAGGTGCTGTCTAATCAAAAATTCCGGTGGCATTAAAAGTTCTTATACTCTTTGTGGTCTCTATGAGCACTGCTCCCCAACACATGGATAATATTACTAATTTGACTGTTCCATTGAGCTGCTGTTCCAGTTAATAGTCTGCTACACATCCTGATGTTTGCAGGGTTAAAGGTCTTGGGTTTTGTTATGGGAGTCCAAATACACTGTGTAGCTGGAATCTAAACCTTTTATGCTTGCTGCTACAGAGCAACTTGAAGACAGTGGAGAGAAACAGGTTCATGCTGAAGATAGAAGGTGAGAAGGGAATACAAAAATTTCTGTTTCTGTCAGGAAATAAACAGCAGCTGTCTTTAGGTGCTACAAATCTGTATGGATTAGATAAATAAACCTTTCCTTATTGTAACCTGCTGAGAGAAGGAGCTTCATCTTGAAACTGAAGAAGCTGTGGGCCCTCAGGGCTTCATCTTCAGATCTGCTCTTACCTTCCAATTTTTTTTCCTTCTTGGAATAGGAAGGCAGTTTAATTTGTTTCAGTCATAGCTTATCACTGCTGTTTGATACACATTGTCTGTCTAGATGTCAGTTAACAATAGAGAAAAGTATTTCTATTTTTTTGGAATAATTTCATCTTAAAAAATGCAGAGCCCGATCTCTTGCCCAAGTAGAGAAACAAACTCCTGAAAGCAGCTGCTACTCTTCTCCTTTACCTCATCTTCTATTTCATTAGGTGATTATTTTATTATGGTCCTTCTCAGATTTTTCATTTTGCAGGATAAGCTATTCTTAAGCTAAGCAGTTTAAAATGACACAGTAAGCAAAAACTGGGGACACGAGGAAATGTACAGCCAGAACCAGCCACACTTATTTAAAAAAGTATGTCAGTCTGATAGCATATGGCAGAGCTCCTGCTGGGAAATCCATTTAACACAGAGACAGTCATTGTATGTTAATGAGGCTCTTTGTGTGTTCAATTATTTGTCTGTCACATAACCCCTCTGCCTGCCTACTCCCCTTTCAATCGTTGGTTGCTGGGTCTTGACCTCTAGAGTAAGTGCCATAATTTCATAAATTATTCTTTGACTTTCAGAAGTGACTTTTGTAAGTGTTTTCACAGCTGTGGAATTAATTCTTGCTGGTGTATTTTGTAATGCTACAAAGCCACATTTGTCTTAGGCTACTTAGTAAATGAGAACTTCAGACCAGGTCTCCACGAGCTCTGTGAACTTCATGCCTAAATGCAGCTGAGCAGCTAATGTTAGTTCATCTGTGTGGAAATATGTATCAATTGATTACAAGATCTGATTTTGCTAGAAAGTCCTTTCTGGCCCCTGCAATCTTATTTTCTGTGGCATTGTTCCATATTATTGTTACAGACCTTTGAAGAAAGAGGCTACGTGCTCACTCTTGGCAGCACAGAAGGTTCAGCAGGAAACAAGAATTAAGCAGTGATCAGTAGAGACTTCTCTGCAGGAGCAAATCTTTATTGGCATCTATTCAAAATGAGTTGCCACTAGAAAAAGAAATGGGAATCAAAGCCATTTCTTTCATCCAGAATTTAAGTCAGCCTTCAACACTTGGAAATTTGTCGTCCTAGGGTTTTTCTTTTCCTTCTGTTCTTTCTTGAGCTCCATCTGTCACAGGTTTTAAAACTGAAAGGGACCTTTGGGATAATGAGTTAGACCACCTATGTTCCATGAAATATTCCGGAATTAATTTCTGAAGTTCTTCACAGCTCTTGTAGAGTTAGTGTCTTTTGGGGTATGTTTGGTTGGTTGGTTTTGTTGTTGTTATTTTATTGATTTTTTTTTTTTACTTTTCAGTTTGCTTTAAATGGTTAATTAGAAGACATGTCACAGCTCTTGGTAAGAGCTTGCAGTGTTGAATACCCTGTCTGTTCAGAAATAAGTTACACACAGCAAAACAGCAGCTGGACAAGTTTAGAATTCAAATAACCTGTAACTTCATCATCCTCTCTTTTGACACCTATTTAGGGACTGGGGAAGGAGCCTGAATAATTGTTTTAACTACTGAGGAATTAGTGTTCCAACCTCTTCTTGTACAGCTCCCAGGGAACACCCTCTGAGAAGCAAGAGCCTTGAGAATGGCATAAACCCTTTCAACACAGTTGGGTTTATGTTGCATTTATTATGTCCATGGTCTGCTTTGAGTGTGTACTTGCTTTAGCTTGGTCCAGGGTTTTCTTACATGAGATGTCTGTCATCCCATGTTTCCTTTTTCCTTTGCCTTCATGTTTCACTTTCTCTGGCAGTTACCTTCTGTTGGTCCATGAGGAACAAGTTTAATTTGGAGCTTTCTTGCACTTGTGGGACTTACTTGTCTTGCTTTTTAGCAGATTTCTCAGGGTAGTGTCAGTTTCTTCCTCAAAGATTTCTGCTAGGTGTCAGATATTGTCTAGGTTCTGTTCAGTTGCTCTCTAGTGTTACCTTAATTTTTAAAAAGGACCTAATTTCTGCTTGATCAGTTTCCTCATGGGATATGGTATTTCTGGTCTCTGTGACTCCTTCCTCTTTTGAGTAGCATCAGCACCTCTGTCTCGTGCAAACTCTCACCTTCTGACATGCTCAAAGGTTTGACCTCTCCTCTTACTTAGTTCAGTAACTATTCTGCTTTTTTAAATGTTCATGGGAATTGTCTGATCCTGGTGGTGATCACATTTCCCTCTGATCTGTTTTAGTAGGGATTATTGGAGAAGGCAAGTCCCACCTTGATCACAACCTGTATATAAATAGCTGATAGAGTCTTGAATTAATTTCCGGAACTCTTTTTCCACCAGATTTGGTTGGTAAGTGGATGAAACAGCTGAATAGATCTGGATGACTTGTTGATCTCAGTGAAATGATAAAAGAATTTAATTTTCTTTTTCATTTAAATCTGAATGAGCTGTTGGTACAGATGTCACTCAACAATCTCTTTGTTATTTAAATGAACCTGCATTAAACCATGTAGGAAATTGCAAGGCACGTGTAATCTAACTACAATATGTGAATTTACAGCAGTAGAAATTCATAGCTTTTATCTAATAATAGGATTAGGTAATAGTGGTGGTATGAAGGTATAAGTGTATCTTGGAAACTTTAAAGTGTAATTTTTGCCCCTTCTTCTTGGGAGCACCTACTTTAGATGCAGGCTTTCTGTCCTCTTCCTGTCTCCTCTACAACACATTTTACAATCTTCTTCCATGATTTGTATTTATTCTCTCATAGTCTAGCATCCAGCCAGATGTGCCTGTACTCACCATTGGCTGTCAGATCTTCTTCTGGCCCTGCATCAGAGAGCTTAATTTTTTTCTCCTTGCTAGTATAATTTTTTAAAAAGTGAACAAAGAAGTAAGGAAAAAAACCTTCTTCTTTGTATCTCTTCTGCTTTTGTGAGAAAGACAGTCTGCTTCAAGCTTGCTGTGGCAGGTTTATTATGAGAGAATTTATTTTGGAGGTGGGGATGTACCTGCGAGGGTGTGTCATTTTCCTGGGCTAGCTGATGCCAAATGAAAAGCTGAGCCAGCCATAAGATGTGTCTAGTGGGTAAATGCTGATTCAGAAAGTGCTGTAGTAAAAATGGATGTACCCTTCTCTTAGAGCATGGGGATGGGTATTAAGAAACTGTGTGTCCCTGGAAGTTTGAAGTAGTGGGCTTGAAGGTTTTCAGGCAGCGATAGCTGAAAGTACCTGTGAAGGTGAAGCACTTGAATGGGGGGTCTGGGATTTTCTTTCAGGACTGTGGTGACTTCCTAAGTTCCGCTGTGTTGTAAGCTGCATGGTAACGATGCCCTGCTTGTTTTTCCCAGGCTGCCAGGAGGGTGATCCTGCTCTCGGGAACGCCGGCCATGTCGCGGCCCGCGGAGCTGTACACGCAGATCGCCGCCGTGCAGCCCAGCTTCTTCCCGCTCTTCCACTCCTTCGGCCTGCGCTACTGCGACGCCAGGAAGGTACTGCCCTGGCAAAGGGCCGCGTGGCGCTCTGCACACAGCACTGGTTTTTAGCAAAATGTGGAGGCTTTTTCTTCCTTCTTCTTTCTGCATGATATTACATCTTTTCTTGAGAAAGTTTCTCTGCAAAGTAACACTTTGAAAGTTTGTAAGCTGAGGAAGTGTAGGTACTGCAGTGGTGGGCCTGTGAAGATGAAGACTACTGAGATGTGAAGGCAGTAGTGTTTCTTGCCATGAAAGCCACAGAAATAAAAATGGGGAAAAAAAAACCCGAAACAAATATGGCCATAACTGGTAAAAAGAGCCTATTCCTATCAGATCTTGCCCCCCCAAGTTTTTAAAAGGGGCAGAGTGTCTAAGGGGCCTTTAAGCAGCTGCAGATTTAGGCTAATTGATTTTTAAAAAAATTTAAAAGAGCAAATAAAAAAACCTAGTTCCTAGTCTTAGTCACTGTTTGATAAAGGACTTCATTGCTTGGGATTTTGGATTTTATACCTCCAGGTAAGTAAAAAATGGAAGACTTGCAGACTATATCTTTGTATTCCACCCTCTTCTAATTTAGAAAATGAATGCAATCCTCAGCATATTTTGAAAATAACTCTTCTGCCAGCTGCTCAGCAGTTGTTTCCACAGAGTTACTGAGTCCAACCACTGCAAGAATTTGGCTTTGCACGAACCCAGCATTTGCAGCCATGATAGCAAATGTCTGCCTTGCTGCCAGTGTATGCGCAGCTCACCTGTACTTGGATTTGCCATCTCTAATTCAGAATGTTCAGCAAAGTACTTGGAAACACCAAAGGACCATTTCAGTGTTCAAAAATATTTACTGAAGAGCTGAACACCATCAGTGTATGCCATAAAAATAGTTACAGCTATTTGTAGGGCTTTTGTGTTTTTCTTTTCTGTTTGGGGTAGCTAACATATACCAAGTTTCCACCAAGAAGATTCTTACTGCAGTCTCATATAAAGTTTTTGAATCCTCTTTTTCCTAGATCTGAATGCCCACTTGCTTTCATAGCCAGTGTAGTGCTGTTCTGTGTATGTGCAAGTGTGCAAGTGAGAGGAGCACTTAATTGGCTTTGGTAGTCATGTGCTGGTGCCATTGATGAGAGAAAGGTCATTAGCATGCAGAATCACAGAGCATCAGTCCTGGTCTCCATCCATGGTAGGAATCATATGGAGGGAGAGATCACATCTGGTAAGCTTCATTATCTTTCAAACTGAAAGATTCCTTCCTAAGCATTCCTTTCAGAATGGTTCCTGGAGGGAAATTAAGAGATACAGTTTAATCGTTTTGGTTTTCTGCAGTAAAAAGGAAAGTTCATTTGCAGCATGTGAGTCTAAGCAGGTTTGGAGTTTGATAAGCCCTGTTAAGGGTAAAGTTCTGCACAAGTAGCTGTCATTTCAATTACGAGGCAGATGGACCTTGGATAAAAGAGAATAAAATTGTTTTACAGGTTCCAGGTTATAATTGTGTGTCCAGTGTAAATGACTTCTCTACCTTCAGTGAAACTCAGCATGGAGGTCACAGTCTATATCAGCTTCCCTTGAAAACCTCATCAGGACTTCTAGTACAATTTTCTATGTTTGACCTGCCTCTCCTAGACAGTTGAACACTGTTGGTCTTCTCCATGCTCACCTGGGACATTTTGTTGCAGTTAATGTCAGTAAATGATAGCATGAACCTGGGAGGAATTTGGTTGTTTGGAGAAGTGGGGCTGCTGGAAATGAAGAGCTGTAGATAGCATTAGAGAAAAAGATGGGACTGCTGAATATCAGTTGCCACAGATCCATTTGGCAATGAAAAAATTTAAAAGGTGATTGTAGTTGATTCCTTCATGACTGTGGAATATCCCTGACATTTGTTGCTGTAGCTCTAACCTGAGACTGTGTTAGGAGTTGCATCTTCTCTGAAGAACTGTTGTGGTACTTCTGCTGTCAATACTCAAATAAATTCTGCTTTCTGGCCTAAAATTGGCAGCATTATGAGTGGAGATATAATTGCACAGAAAGGCTTTGCAAGGCTTTTGAAGATGTGTAAGGATGAAGGGTGTTATGTAAAAATGTTTTGGTATTAATAATAAATCCGATTGCACTATAAGATGAAAGAAAAATTGGCAAACCTGATCCATTCAATTTAAAACCAAAGTCTGACTAGTTTCTGTTTCAAGATTTTATGACAGAAAATTGCAAATATCTGGCAGATCTGATTACAAAAGTTATAGAAGTTTATAAGTATTAGTTCAACCTCCCAGCATCTGTACTTTTAAAAATGCAGCAAGTAAAATGTCACCCGTTGTTTACAAGATGTCCCAAGACTGTTTCCCAAAATACATGCTGTGAATTCATTTTTCAAATTGGCTGATGTTGGCAAATATTAAGTAATTTCTATCTGAGCACATGCTCTGAATTTGTAAGAGTTTGGCAGCTTCTGCTAACACTGTAATAAGTTTACTGACTCATGTAAGATGCTGTAACACTTTGGTAAGAAAATCACAGTGGGAAGCATGTGTTCTGGAGTATTATGGATCAAAGCCAGATGTGTATTTTGGCAAAATAAATGTCCCTCTTTTTTCTCTCTTTTCTTTTCCACAATAGGGTATACTAAAGTAAATGTTAATAATTCCAAAAGTAATTATCTCTTTATAACTAGCTAGGTGCAGCACAGAGCTAGAATGTTTCCTTGTTTGCAAATTGTTCCACCACCATAAGCAACATATAACTTAACCATGCTGTGGGGACTCTGCCTGTGACAGTAGATGGTGTCTTGGCTCTGTGTGTGCCTTGTGCTTTGCCTTATGAGGATGCTGCTCTTCTGAAATCAGTTTGGCTATGTGGACACAAAGCATATGTGAATGCTTGTTATGGAGGTGGAAGGTGGGAAAACATGGGCTTTTAAGGGGAAAGGCCTGCTGTGGGGCCTGGATATCCCCTGGGCTACCCAGGCCCCACAGCAGGCCTAGCTGAGCAGCCTAATCATGTTGGTCCTTCCTACTCACCTTCCAGTGCACTGAGCAGTGTGGGCAGTGGGCTTTGGAGGCTGGGCACAGCACCAGGGGGTCCTTCTTGGTTCTGTCCATCTGCTCTGCTGGGCCATGGAGCTTGAGAAATGCAGAAAGGGAACATAAGACTGTGGCTCAGTAATTTCAGCTTTCATGCAGAATGCCTAAAGCTAACAAACCCAGGCAGACTTGGCTAGCTTTCTGTGCACCTGAGGGATGCATCTGTGTTGCACTCTTGGTTCAGGGAAGCAGAGCAGTGATACCCATGTTGGTTTTTTGAGGGGCTGACTGAGATCCAGGTGGGCTTATTAACTCTAACCCTACACCACTGTCAGAGCCAAAGTTTTAATTCTGTAGGACTCAAACTGACTATGTATTAAGGATTTGAATTGTTTCTTGCTTTAATGAACCAACTGTAGCTAATCAGATGGTGCCATAATTATGTAGGAATAGATTAAGTCAGATGAGTTTAATGATGGCCACAAGCACCAGAATCTGAAGTCAGTTAATGGTTCACATCAGTACAATATGGCAATAGGATTGCAGATTGTTTTATCTCAACCTGAAGTAAGAACATTCACTTTTGGATACCAGAGAGGTCTTACTTGCCTATAAACTCTTTCATTCCTCCTCTTCCTGTCCCACAGCATGTTCTCATCCCTGTTCATCCAAGCACCACCCCTTAATACAGTCAGTAGTCAGTGGCATGACTAACCTTATGGCTAGTATGGTTTATTTTTTGTCTCATGCATTCTAGGGGAGGATGGAGGATGCAGCGAATCTTTCTCTTCAATTTATTTATGTGTTGTAGCAGTTTTCTCTTGGAGAAGACAAAATCAATATAGATATTTAAGGTTAAGTATATTTTATCGATGAATGTAGCTGATCGAGGTGCTGATGCTCCTCCCATCTCCATTATATGCATTTCAGGAGAGTATATGTAGGGCTTACTTTGGATTGTTATTCCAAGACCAGAGGTTGTATTTTTGGACATTGCCAATATTATTTAGGACTAGAGCTATGAGAAAGATATCACCTCTCTCCCCGCCTTGGTCTTTGGTATTCCTGTAGCTGAATTCCCTATACCTATTTGTGAAATTGTAGCAGAAAGGTTTCTCTTTTTTTCCTTGCTTCAGAATTAAAACTGTATTGGTCTCTTCTCTGAAAGACACTTGTTTGAAAGATGCTTCTTTTGGGGAATGTGCCAATTTTGATGCCACTGTTTTTCTTTCTCAGAGAACAAAAGATAGGCTGTGGGGTTGCAGTTAGCAGAAGTGATGAGCTGAGGTTAAGTGAACAGGTGTATATTGCCAGCACACAGGATCTTGGAGGATAGGCCAGCTTCAGAGGGGAGTGGTTCAAGGAGGAGTAAATGAATGGCTTGTTCAGAGGAGCTTTGAAGTGATGATGCTTTGAAGAGACAATGTTTGGAGTAATGTCTTTTGGGCCACAGTTTATTTCTGGTTTGCTTGAGTCTGAGCCAAACACAGTAATGGCAGAAATAGAGTTTGCCAGGAAACAGAGCAGGAGTCAGGTCACAGTGGAGAACAGGCAGTTTTGACCTAGCATGTCAGACAAGTGTAACAACTCTGTGAAGGCATCTGGGTTAAGGATGTTTGTCCTCGTGCTGGTAGAGAATATTTTTGTGTGTCTCTCTGCTTAAAGCTGAGATAAATGTGCCTGCACAGAACTGCAGTGAATTCTTTTGGCCTGCTCAAAGCTGCAAGTAGAGAGCAGCAACACCTTGCTGTGTGAGAGTGAATATCAGGACACAGGGCTGGAGAAGGGATTCCTGCCACCTTTCTGCATAGTCTGCTTCCCTGCACCTCCCTGGGCTCCTGTAGATAGGAAGAAGGGAAGCTTGTAAGGAACCTTTTCATGTTGAATAGATTAGTTTGTACGCTTCTACCTTATTGCAGTTTTTGTCAAATCTCCTTCTGACCATCAAGTTCTTGCCTTGTCCAGATTCTCTGGAAATTTATTCTGCTTTTGGATTGTATGCAGAGCAGTCTCTTACAGGTTTGACTGATAACTGCTTTGATCTTTCCCAGATGCCATGGGGTTGGGACTACTCTGGATCATCCAACTTAACTGAACTGAAAATTTTGCTGGAAGAGTCGATCATGATCCGACGTCTGAAGTCGGATGTGCTCTCCCAGCTTCCAGCAAAGCAACGCAAAATGGTTGTGGTGGCTCCTGAAGGCATTAGTGCAAAGACCAAAGCTGCCTTGGCAGCTGAAGCAAAAAAGATGGCCAAAGGATATGAAAGTGTAAGTCAGAAACTTATTTTCACAATGAGCCATTGCTATTTCAGGTACTTTTATTTTAAAAAACTTTCTTGTGAAAAAGCAGTACCCTGAGTTCCAAAGGCCAGAGCCACACCTTTATGTGAAGGCACAGTTTTAAATGAGTGTACAGCACAATCAAAACTGGCTCAGCTTGATTCGTTTTTGATCTAAGTGGTCAACTTTGTCCCTTTGTGTGAAATACTATTTCCTCTCTTTTTTTCTCTCTTGCTAGTAATTTTTAATTGTCTTTTATATCTCCTGCCTCTCTACTCACTCTCCTGTCTAGCCTTGTAATCTCATTCAGCCTACAAAAACAGACTTATTTGTGTTGTGAACACAGCAGTGGTCAAAAATGCAAAGGATCTATTTTTGCTTTTCTTGTTTGTTTTCCATGTATGGGTGGAAAATTCGTGTTGTAGGCTCCTAGGCTGCTAATACAGTTCTGTAAGAACTTGGGGGTTTTTCCTTGCCATTTTAGTTGGGACACGCTTTCTCAACTACAACTGCATTTGTGATAAATTTGTCATCCAGCTGGTAGGAGTTGAGTGGGAAGTGGGGAGGGAGGTGTCAGGGCTGTGTGAGTATCTGCTGTACCTAATGGCGAGTAGGAGACTTCCCTCCCAGGCCTCTATTGTTGTGCTTTTTTAGGCTGATTTTTTTTCCTAGCAAAGTGTTTGTTGGCAGCAGCAGAAATAGCAGATTTGTAAGCAAGGAGAAAAGGCATTTTTGAGACTCAGATTTGTTTATCTCTTCCTTCTACAGAAACAACAGGAGAAGGAAGCTCTTCTTGTCTACTTCAGCAGAACAGCAGAAGCCAAAATCCGCTCAGTCGTGTAAGCTCCGTGTCACTGCCTCATTCTTGCCCAGTAAAATGTGCTTTTCTGCTGAGAACAGGGAGACAGTGCCTGAGAGATAACACTGCAGGGATGTGAAGCACAGCCTCAAGTCAGCCTAGAAAAACATGATTGTAATTACAATGCACTACACATTTTTTTCTCTTAGGGTTCTTTGGCTGAATAAATCTTCTGATTTCATTCCAGTTACAAATCTAAACTGTCATTTGAACCATTTAAAATGACTTTGTGTTTGAGACTTGGATCAAATTCCCTAGTCTGGACCCTTTTTCAATTTAAGGAGCAGGGAAATAATGAAACTAAAAGCATCAACAGAATTTGAGACAACAAATGCTGCAGTTCTGCTGCATCAGGAATCCTGACCCAAAAAGCTTATGAGATGGGCTTAGCTTTGGTTGTAGTGTGCTTTAGGAATCTCACAGCTCCTACTGAGGTTCTTGGCTCTTCCACAGGGCTCACGAGGGATCTCAGTAGTAAAATTTTTGTACCACAGATGTGCTTATAACTCTCTCTTCCCTAGAAGTAGTTTCTTTTTGTGCCTTTTCATCCTTAGCCTTTTTGCTGGGACTGCAAAGGAGTTGCTTTAGGTCATAGCATAACTTTCTAATAAGTAATATGGTAATAATATGAAAATTATTTACTTTCCACAGTTCTCTGAATGTAAGGACCAACTGATGTGCACTGTGTGATTTCACAGTCACAGACCTTGCTGCAAAACTTGCTTGTTTGGCACAGAACTACACTTCATAGTCCCAGCATTCATTTTTGTAAAAGAGTTTCTTCCTTTTGTTAGTGAACAGTTACAAGACTTTAATGTTTTTATTATAGTCACAAATGTGAACTGAATATAAAACCATAAAGTGCTTTTATTTGACTCTCTAGTAGGAAGTAGTCAATTTTTTCCTAGGGTTTAGTAGCATTTAAAATATCAGTTACTACAAGCTGCATCTAACTAATGATACTGTGCTATGATCATCAGCACTTGCCATGTCTTAGCCTTAATGACTTATCTTCCATTGCTTCCACTGAAATGACTTACCACTTGTTAAATAGAATGTGGGAATGAGATACAAAATAAAATAACTGATGTGTTGATTGGCATCTGCCTACTACTCTGAATGTTTGCTTTGATATTTGTTTTAAAATACAGTAGTTCCACTTCTCTCCCAGATTTCTTTGTTAAAATAATACTGTCATGTAATGGGGATCTGAATATTATGAACCTTGCAAAGTTGTCTGCCCTCTTAATACAGTGCTGGAAATCCTTCTTGGTCTTTTGTGACAGTTGCAGCTGACCTAGGTGTGTTGACTTTAGCAAAGGTCTTGGTATTCCTGATCTTCTCAACAACTTTGCTGTTCCAAAGAAAAAAATTACATCATCTGTATGGGCTTATAGGTTTTCCTCAGGCTTCAGTTAACCTGATTGTAATACAAGTTACTACACAGAAATGGGTTCTGTAGCTGTGCTGCTAGTCCATGGGAAAAACTAGATGTTTTCATTTAAGTCACTTAAAAGGAGCTGTGTTGCCTCTCGTTGGCCTAAATGCATGTGGATAACTCCTAGAAATAGCTGACAAATGTAGATATTTAAGCTGGAGTAAATTGTCAGTGGGAACCCTTGCAAGAAAAGGTATTTTTTTCTGATCAGTGTGTTTAGAGGTGTTTTCTTCTGATTTAAAAACAATCCCAAGTAAACCCAGGAAGTGAAACTGCATACAGATTACTTTAGTGTACTGTGATTGTGCAGAAGTTAGAAATACAGATGGGTGAGTGAGATTGTAATTAAGTATAGATGATCTTCAGTCGATTGGCCTGGGATGTCATCTTCCAAGTAGGATATAATAAACTGATTCTCTTTGACACCCAAGTATAATGTAGGCAGATGTCTGCCTGTGGTGAAGAAAAACTGAGGGAGTTTTCCTTTCTGTATTTTAATCTACAGAAGACTTGACTTGCTGCTTGCACTTTACTGCAGCTTTTTATGCTAGCCTGTTTCCTAGTGTTTGTGTATAGATGGGCAGTAGCTTCAAAATTTGTTGTGAGCAAAGTCTGTATTCTCTCAGCACATAATTTTATAGTGTTTTGGTGTTTTTCGTTTTTCATGTAGAGAGTACATCCTGGAGTTACTGGAAAGTGGGAAGAATAAATTCCTGGTGTTTGCTCATCACAAGATAATGCTGGATGCAGTAGCTGCAGAGCTGAAGAAGAAAGTAAGTGGCTGATTTGTCTTAACTTTATCACTGTTCCAGCTTCAAAGTTGTTGAACAGCCTCCTGGATTTATGGCTGGTCAGATAGTTCAGGACAGTTAGTGACAGAGATGATTTCTACTTGCTGTGCTTCTGAGTGTGCCCTTCACCGAGGGAGCTGAGCTGTCAGGGTGAATGCCTCACAGCATGCATTTTGTATTAGCTGAATGGCTTTTATGTATTTAGTGTTCTTTAATTCCACTGTCTGCCCTGGAGCTTGTGAATTCTTATGTTACCCTGTGTGGCCGTTGTTCTCCAGGCTTTCCTCAGAGGGAGAACAAGGCTACCCAAACCCACCATCTCTGCCTGTCTTTACCTCTGTGGTGCTCTTACATTTTTGAAGTAAGATACTGTAGGGAGAGTTGATAGACCTGCTAGTCATTTCTCTTGACTTCTCTTGTTTGTCTAACTTTCCATGTGAGATTTCCTTTGATGCTCCTAAAGCATGCTGGATCACGCTGGGGCAGTGAAGAATGATTTAAGATAACATTCCAGACTATAACCCACAGTGGCACTGGTGACTTTGCTCAGTGGCAGCACTGGACATGGGATCCACTAAAACATGGAAGGAGTATGCAAGAAAGGGGACAGCAGGTCTCTAAACAGCATCTTCTGCCCTTTCACAGCACGTCGAGCACATTCGCATTGACGGCTCCACATCCTCAGCTGAGCGGCAGACTCTGTGCCAGAAGTTCCAGCTCTCAGAGAAGCAGGCTGTGGCTGTCCTGTCCCTCACTGCTGCAAACGTGGGCCTGACATTGTCTGCTGCAGATCTGGTGGTGTTTGCAGAGCTCTTCTGGAACCCAGGGGTGAGTGTCCTGGAGGGGACAGGGGTTGGATGTTCCCTGGAGAGGAGAAATGTTGCTGATTAAGAGATATAATGGGCAGGCAACTTTCTCTAGCGTTTGTCTCTTTCTTTTTCTGATGTCTGCTGGCTCTGCAACCACAGGTGTCTGGGCTGGAACCTGTGAGGCTGGTTTACACAGCTTGCTGGCAGGGGAAGATAGCACAAAAGGGAAACATGCTTCTGTCTTTATTTGACAAAGCTCTTAAGGGTTTGCTCCTGAAAGGGTTCATCATCAGTGCTGACCCTCAACTTTGGAAAACTGTTCAGTGCCTTTTGGGAACCTGGTGTACCAGATTACTTCTTGGCTTACTCTCTTTGAGAATACAGGTCTTAAGGGGATCCAGATAAGAAAGAGTTGCTAAGCAGAAGTAGTGAGATCCTCTGTTCTCTGTGCTTACACTGTTTCTCAGATGTTGCAGTTTTCACTTTTTGTCATGTTTTTACGTTAAGATTTTGATCCAAGCAGAAGATCGGGCACACCGAATTGGACAGACCAGCTCTGTTAATGTTCACTACCTGGTGGCTAAAGGCACAGCAGATGACTACTTATGGTAAGAAGTGAGAAAGACACTTTGGTTCTCCTGACATGTGTTTCCACTGTTTGTTACATATATGGTGTGAGGGGTAATGCTAGTGCTGATTTCCATGGCCTGTGAGGGGAGGATCAATGTGTGCCAGGGCTGCTGCAAGCTGGTGGCATGGCCTGCCTGCAATGGACATGACTGAGTGGCTGACAAGCAGGAGGAATAAAAGTAGTTACCTGACAAAGAAAGGGCTCTCAAGAGAAATTCTGGGAGAGCTGATGGATCTAAAACCTTCACAGTCTCTGTGTAAGGAGGAGGAATTGTCTTAGGTACCAGTCCAGAACATTCCTGTGCTAGGGAGGGTCCTGTAAAATGCTGTGACTGAAATGAAGTCAGCAGACACTGGAGAGGGTTCTCAGTGTATTGTAGATCAGTTATGAGGAGCAGTCTGGCTGCTGTGTGCTTGGACAAGGAGCTGTGGAGGAGGACTGCACTGTTGCCTTCCTCTTGCCCTTCAGTGAGCCCTTCAAATAGATGCAAAAGCTATTGACCCACCTCTGGATAGTTGTGGTTTGAGGCTTTTTGGCTTCAGTGAGAGTTAGCAGTGGACATTAGTCCTTAGGGCTGGGGAATCTGACATCTGGGGGTAGGCAGGATCTGGGGAATCTTTAGTGCTGCAAGGGAGCTGACCTGCAAATGATGACAAGAAATTATCCACCAGCTGCTTCATTTAAATCCAAAATTACATCTTTATTACCTTGTGTAAAGGAATGAATGAACTAAGTGAACTTGTGCAGTTCCCAGACTATCATGATGGCAAGTAATTATAACCCTACAATGCAAGGATCTGGAAACTGATGCATCACCCAAATTTCATGGAAAGTTAATGACAGTAATTCTGCCTTTATTTGTGAAATGCTGTCTGTGCAGTCATTAGTGCTCAATGGGGAAGAAATATGGCTGTCTAAAGGACAGTGGCATCTTTTTAAAGACAAGAAAAAGAACAAGAGGGCAAGGCTATTTGGTAAATGCACTAATTGTGCTGTGGCCTTGGCATCTTTCAGTGTCCAGTGTGCAGGTGTGGCTGGGACCTCTCACCCTCTTGGGCCAGTGATGGATTCTTCCTCCTGCTGTACATTGGGAGTTATCCTTGAAGTGCACCATAGGTGTTGCCTCAGTCAACTAGTTTCTGTATTGGACGTATGTGTTCTCCAGAGGTCTATAGCCCAAAATCCTCTAATTGTTACTAATTTAATTGATTGATATCTTACGACAGCATACAGTGATTATAACCAAGAGCAGGACAGGTTAAGGAACCAACAAAGTTTAGTAGAAAAGCCATCTTTATTCCCAGTTGTATCCTTTTTTAATCTACATAGTAAATGAAGCAGTGTCCTTGATTTTTTTTCCTTTCATTAATATCCGTTTATCACTCCTAGGCCAATGATTCAGGAGAAGATCAAAGTGCTGGGTGAAGCTGGCCTTTCAGAAACCAATTTCTCTGAAACAGCTGAGTCATCTAATTACTGTCCTAAGGTAATTGACCTGAAAGAATATTGGTGGTCCCTGGGAGAGGCTGAATGGGCTTTGGCTTGTGTACATCTAGATTGGCTCAGGTGACCTTACACCTGTTCTGCCTTTAATGCCACAGACCAGATTGTTCAGCTCCTCCTTGGACTCTCCACAGAAGTTCCAACCTGCTACTTGCAAGGAGACCTGTTAGCACCCATGTCGTATATATGTCTTTGAGTATGTAGTGTCTGAGATACATGTGGGTGTTTATCATGTGAGGTATGATGTGTACACACATGTGCACTGTGTAAGGGGAGTGTCCTCTGATTTTGCTCACTGTGTTTTACATGACAGTGTGGATGCAGATCCTGTTCTGTTCTGTTTCCTCAGACAGATCCAAAGCAGAAGACAATCTTTGACCTTTTCCAGAAGACCTTCTCTGAGAGCAGAGATGATGCTGATGATGTTTTGTTTTTGGAGGCAGCTGATGCTGGCTGTGAGTTTGACTCTGGCAGTGCCCTGCAAGACAGAGAAGCAGAGGCATGTTCAGTGAGTCCCAAAAAAAAGCGGCGTATTGAGGAAGTGTAAATGGTGACAGCTAAAAATAATATTTTTAATATTTTTTTTATTAAAAAAGAAAAACCAAAAGCAATCATATATTATTTTTTGAATTTTTGAAAATAAAAGACTTGAAATGTTCTGTATCTCTGGCATGTTTCATCTCAAAGGATGAGAAGGCAGTCTGACAGTGTGACAGGTGTGCAGCACACACCTGGCAGCCTGCAGGGTTTGCAGTCCTGGTTTTGCTGATGACTGAATGGACATGGGCAAGTATCATTCTGCTCTGTTTCAGCATGTCAGCTTCCACAGTTGTTTTGTTTAAAAAGCAGATAATCATTGTCTTTCCCCAAGGCAGAACTCTTGAGAAAACCAACTCAGCAGCACCTGCAGAGTGCTTTTAACAATATTTTCCATTTCCAAAAGTATTTATTTCTAGGAGTTTGTTCACTGGCAAATTGAGCCATTACTTGGATCACTCACAGACTGGCTCTTGGGTATTCCATTTGGCCTTGAGGAAAAAAGATCCAAACAGATCTTGATGTTTTGTGGAGGTGGGGAAGAGGAGGGAAAAGAGGAAGTTACCACCTTGAGCTAAGTAATGTAGCTGTTTGCCACTAAGTGTGCATTACCTGTTTTAGGCACATGTCTCCCTCGGCACACTCCTCTCTGGCCTCATGCTGAATATTAGGATCTGCTCCATGGCATGTGCTGCTTCTGTCAGTGGAGGGCGAAGCTTGTGCTGACTGCCAGGGGTTAACCCTGACTGGGGTGGGTGGGTGGGGATTTTCTTCAAGACTTGACTGATTTCTAAAGGTGAATGATGAGAAGGGGACACAGGCAGACTTTTGCTCTTGTTTTGTAAGAAACTGGTTCTGGACTGAACTGTTTAAATTAAAAAAAATTGTTCTAGGTTGTGTACCAAACTTTTGGTACTTTCTCTATTTTAGCATTCCATCTCCCAGTTGGCTGTGTTTTACACGGTAATCTGTACAAAAGGTGGCAAACTGAAGGCTTACATTTATCTCCTGGAGGCCAGTAGCTAACGTGCTGTGGAGGTGATGTGCTCGGCTTTGTGCAGGTACCAGACACTGACAAAAATACCTCTCTTGCAAGGCAGAGGAGAAAAATTTTTGTGCTGTCAGATCAACCTGGTAACATTAGGTATTCTTTCCTGCATCAAAGGGTTTGATTGTTCCATTTTCAGCTGGTGAGGTCACGGAAATGCCCCACAGGCTGCATGTACAGTTGTGCTGCATTTCATTCGTGCCTGCAGATGGTGCTTTGGGGTGTGAGCAGTGGCAAGGGGTGTTGTGGCTGGAGGAAATGCTTTATCTCTGGGTTTGAGGCTGAGTTAACCATCACTGCTCTTACTTCAACAGCTGGCCAGGTGATGAAGACACACTTTTTGACATTTTATAATGTCTGTCATCTTGAACACATAGTATTTAATCTGTCTGTAGGATGAGTGATCTTTCTACTTGCAAAGTGGGTTGTTCTGAGTAAGGGGTGAGAAATGTTGCTGTCTGCTGACTGAAAAAAAATGCAAAAGGCATTAGTTGTGTACCCATATTGTTGTCTCCTATAGGAGTAGTTCTCTTCTTTGTAAAGCTGCAGCTGTTTCAAAACAGTACTTTCCTAAGATACACTGAAGGTACCCTTGGAGAATTCTGCTTCTTATTAACTTGATTCATCTTGTTTGTATGTTGATAAATCCCTTTTAGAGAAATGCCAGGTGAACCTTCCCTTTGTTAGGACATATAAAATCTCAGCTGGTTTGCTGCCCAGATAGAGAGGTTTTTCAGATACACCTGAGATCCACTTTTTATCCTTACTACATGAAAAAGGGGAGAAGAAGCTTGCAGGAAAGTGCTGTTAGTGATTACTTCAAGGGACTGCAGGCCTTACCCCAATGGCACCATTAGTCAATCATTTATCTGGTGAGGAGGTGGCTGGGCAGCTGGCAGCAGGCTCAGACAGGATCTCCAGGGCTTGCTGCAGAGTGAGCAGGATGGGACCCACAGCAGGCTCAGGAACATGGAGCACTCCTGGGGCTATTGCACCTGCCTGCTGAAGATGGTAGAGCTGTATCTTTTTGGCATTATCTAAAACCAGCAGAGGAAAGGGAAGGACCCATCTCACTGGATCTGGAGCATCTTGCTGTGGCTGGTTGCCTGCTTGAACACCTGCATCAGTGCCCCCACCAGCTGGAGAAAGGTGTGTTTTCAAGGAGGATGCTAAAACAGCAACAACAGGTTTAAATACATCAATGATAAACTGGAGCAGTTCCAACTAAGTGTTCAGGCTGGCTAGCTTCGTGACCTGAAAAGTTCAAGGGGGTGGACTATCAAGCCATGGCTGTGCTGGCCTGTGTCCTTCATCTTCTCAGTCCCTTGGAAATAAATGTGTGTTTACTTCGGCAGTGCTGGGAATGGCTGTCACCCAGGGTGGCTGGGTTTGGTTGTTGCCAGAGCTCTCTGTGACACTGCTGGATGATGGATATGGCCATGTGCTGCTCTGTCACAGCAAACCTGAACTCTGTACATACAGACCAGAGAATAGCAGTAGATTCTCTGGATGTGTTGGCTAATAATTTATATTTTTTTTAACCATATCATCACTAGGCAGCCAAAGGAAATTACTTTTTTCTAATATGTTGGTATCAAAGCTGTATCCTGTGAGTCATCATTGTGACGAGGATCTGAAAAGGGCAGATTTATTCGTAGGATATATCAAATGAAATTTTGATTCAACTGAGGGAGATATAAATACCATTGCCTAAAGCCTTGCTGAGCCCTCATCTCAAACATTGCTCTGGCCCACCAGCTCCCAGAAGAGCTTGCAGGGATAAGCAGGGAATGAGGAGTCTGGCATGACAGAGGGCATTAAAAACGTCAGTGTTCAAACCCTCAGAGCAAGAGCCAAGAAGGGATGTGACATTTGTCCATGAGCATCAGTACAGACCCCAGCCAGGGAAAGTAACACAGTGGCTGGGTACATTCGATTCCTTGATTCCCTCTTAGCTAAACAGACTGCAGGTAAAAAGTGCTGTCCTTGCTTGAGGCAGCCAGGGTGGGTATGAAGGAAAATTACCTGCAGCAATTACCTGGGGGTGGTTTCTCTCAGTGCACTGGGAAGCTCCGGCCCTCCTGGCAGGCGGGGATGGACCGGAGCTGCCTCTGTGCATGGAGAAGCTCTCAGGCTAACTGGATTACGTTTCTTAATGGAGGCTAATAAGCTGCTAATCCCTTTAGAAGCATTGCAGCTCGGTGGCACTGGTGTATTTTTCCCTGTGTGTTTTGGGGCTGGGAATCACCTCTGAAGTGGCACACGAGGGCTTTCAGGGCTGGTGGTTTCAGCACTGGCTAACCCCGAGGAAATTAGGAAATCAGGTTAAGACCTGACCTGATGCCAAAACTCTTGAAACTTCATGTTTTAGGGTTGATATGTTTTATTATAAGAATTCATTCTCGTTGATTTTTATATTTACTTTTTCTGCACTTCTGGGCACGTTTTCTGTCCCTGTATTGACTTGCTGCTTATCCTCTTTAAAAACGAGGTGAGTGAATGGAACTGCCCAGTTTCCTTTTCTGCTGCGACTTCCCTCGCTGCCCACCCAGGAACCTGAGCTCCGGCGGTGCTGCATGGGTCTCACAAGGGTTCCACAGGATGGGTCAGGCTGAAGGGACCGCGCTACTCATCCGCTCCAGCCTCCCTGCTCGAGCAGGGCCCTGTCGGAGCACAGGGCAGTGCTGCAGTCAGGGAGCCCCCACACGCTCTCCGAGCAGCAGCACACCGCCCTCCCTCTGCTGTCCATCCGTCTGTCCGTCCTGCGGGCTGTGCTCTGCCCGGCTGTGCTGCGGCGCGTCACTTCCGCCCGCGCCGGCCCGCCCGCGCCTGCGCACTGCCGCTCTCTCTCTGCGTCGGCCCCGGCTAAAGATGGTGAGTGAGGCCGGGTGTGTTCGCCGCCATCCGCCTCCATCCGCGCCGGGACCGCCGCGCTGAGCCCGCGGGGCGCGTCCGGGGCAGCTCGGGGCTGGGGCTGGGGATGCGCCGCGTCCCCGAGCCGGCTTCGCGCTGCGTTGTGACAGCGGCTCCCTCGGTTCGGGCGGCCGGAGGGAGGCGGTCTGGGTGAGGGGAATGGCAGCCGGGGCGCGGGCACAGCGGGGCTGCAGCGCTCCGTGTCACCGCCGGCTGGCACCGGGACGGACGGAGCTCTGCTCGGTCTCGGCGGCCCCGGGTGCCCGGCAGGAGCTGCGGGGCTGCGGCAGCACCAGCCCGGTGGCGTTTCATCGCCAGTGCTCCAGGGGAGGGCAGCGAGGAGGATTGGAGGACTGGAACGGCTCTCATGAGCACAGGCTGGGGGAGTTGGGCCTGTTCAGCCTCAGGAGAGGCGATTGAGAAGGACCTCATTATATAAATATATATAATTAGATAAAACATCGTACGAATATTATCTCTTCTCCTGTCAAGAGGCAGGAGCCAGGTTCTTCTGGTGGTGCCAAGCCGTAGGGCAGACGGGCAGACACCGATGCACAGCAAGTCCCACCTGAGCACGGGGAGGAACTTCGCTGTGCAGTGACCGAGCACTGAGAGGCTGCGCAGTGAGGGTGTGGAGTGTCCCTCAGTGAGATACCCGGGAACAGCCTGGGTGCACTCCTGTGCCGTGTGCTCCGGGCCGGTCCTGCTTGAGCAGGGAGGCTGGACCAGGTGGTCCCTTCCAGCCTGATCCTGTGCATACTCAGTTTTCCCGGGCTGCAGCCCGGCTGTAGGTGCTCAGCACTCAGCTGCCATGCTGGGAGAGGGGAGCAGTGAGGAGAAAGCTGTCTCTGTAGGGCTGGAGCTCATTCTGGTTTGCCTCCCAACAGGCCAAGCGCACCAAGAAGGTCGGGATCGTGGGTAAATATGGGACCCGTTACGGTGCATCCCTTAGGAAAATGGTGAAGAAGATTGAAATCAGCCAGCATGCCAAGTATACCTGCTCCTTCTGCGGCAAGGTGAGAGATCTCCTTCCTCCCCAAAAAAGTCTTTAAAAATCACATTGTTGTTGATGCTAGAAAGGTGATTTGATGCATCAGATGAAGAGA